GAAACACTGACACAAAGGCAGAAAGAAAAGTGGCTTCAGAAGTAAAAGGCTGGTCTGACTTCTGTGTTGGGGTTTCTTAAAGGGCAACAAATTGCTCTGTAAACTCTGATTCACCACTTCCTGAGGTATCCGGTGACAATAAAAGATCAAAGGGCGGTGGAAACTTTTGAGGCTTTTTGTTTTTTAGAATCAGATTTCTAGGTGGAAGTAAAACAGGCCTGTCCACACCAAAATGGATTTGTTTCTAAGGGAAAATTGAGGTCTGCAAGACCCATGGACATGATATACCTTGCAACAGGTGTTATCAGTGCCAGCCTAAGGGAAAGTTGCTCATATTTTCTGTGCAAGGCACCAGCTTCCCCCTGGTGTGTATATGGTTGTCTTTGTAAAAATGCACCCTTTCTGCTCTTGTGCTGTGTTGTCTGCTGTTCTTTTCATTGCCCTCTTTTCGTTAGAGGTGGATAGTTTCTTTGAATGTTTTTTTCTCCCTTCTCTTTCACTGCAATCCTGCCAGAGAGACATTTTCCACTGAAACCAAGAAGGCAGGTTTGTGTGACTTTTAGCTGTCTTAATTTTCATTGAGAGCTGTGGAGGAGATGCTGTAAGAAGAAAGGTGGTATTTTTTTAAGTTCCCTACCATGCATCCCTGTTGTCTGTTTTCACCTTGAGAGAACACTCCCTTCCCCAAACCATAGAGCACGTTCCTTCATATATAATGGCAACATCTGTGGGAATGTCATTATTAAAGACCGCATGTATTCTTCTTTGGGTGTCTGTGCAAATCTCCCAGGGAATGTCAGTGAGATGGAAGGTGGCTTGAAAGAGGTAATGATTCAAGTTCTAAATTACTGCTCCAAAACACCAAATGGGCCATGGCAGACAGTGAAGAGCCTGATCTAATGTCCTTTGAAATCAACAGGAAGATGCCTGCTTTAATAGATATTGGATCAGACCCAGGTGGTGGGTCTGGTCCACTCAATGTGCAGCAGCTGTCAAAAAAGCAAACAGAATTTTGGGAATCATTAAAAAAGGGAGAGAGAATAAGACAGAGAATATCTTAACATAAATATAAGTCTGTAGTATGTGTACATCTTGACTATTGCATGCAGATATGTTTGCCTCATCTCAAAAAAAGGTGTCTTGGCATTGGAAAATGTTCAGAAAAAGGCAGCAAGAAATGATTAGCGGTATGGAATGGGGATGTTAAAAGTTGGTTAAATAGGTAATCTGTAACGTCTGAAAATCTCCGTTGTTACAAAGTTATACGCTGCGGGACCGTCTCTCTTTATACTGCAGAATCCGCAGCAAAGCTTCCCCTGGACCAGAGCTGCCAGCCTGGCTCCTGGGTAGGCCCACTTCCCTGGCCGCAGCAAAGCCGCCACCCTGGGAGCTGGCTGTGTTTAACTGAGAAGCTGGTGTCGGTTAAACGGTTAGTAAGTTACACACTGCCTGGGAGCCACTCAAAGTAAGCCCCTCCTGCCCCTGCTGTGACACCTCCCTTCCCCCCCCCCCCAAGCCGGACTCCCCTCCTACATGCCAAAACTCTCATCCTCAGTCAAATTATGGTGGGTTGCTGGCATCAACAATACTCTTCAACTGGGCCATGAGAAAAAAGTTTGCCTAGATCAGTGGTTTTCAGTCTCATGGAGCACTGCTCCCATGTTCTTAGCTTCCAGTGCCTGACGCGCTAAAGTCTTGCTTGCTTTGCAACTGTCATCTGAAGCTTTTCTTATAGCAGGGCAGGAGATCCCTCTCCTCTGCTCTGAATCAGTGAGGTGGACAATCTGAGTGAAATGTGACATTTAATAGTGGTTGCCCTTATGATGAATCTTGCTGCCAAGGTGTCTTGTCATCACGACTGGGGAAAAACTGCCTGTCTACTGGAGCCAGAAATTCCTTCCAAAAACCTGGAGGAGGGGAGGAACCTATTATATCTCACGAGTCTTTTATAAATGACAGTTTCTGTAGAAGAGCTCAGTTAATATATATCTTTATATGTCATAGTAAGGAACACTTTGTCCTGCATACTATAATAGATTTGATTATTTCTTGCCACCTAATTGAGAACTTAAGAGCTCCATTGACCAAACTCCTGATTTTCTGTGGCTTTGAGAGTTTAATTTTCAGGGGTCTTTCAGTCTGATGCTAGGACTGATATGCGGCAGAAAGAGAACATGGTCAACTCTTAAGATGGAAATTGGAACTTATTAGGCCTAGTCTACTCAAACCGCACTGTTGATCTAATTTATGTGATTTTTAGCTATGCAAACAGTGCAGCTAAAGTTGACGTACTTACCATGGCATCTTCCACCTTGTAAGATTGATGGGGGCTGCTCTGCCATTGATGCTAGCGACTCTTAGGGTGCGGCTAGACTGGCAAGATTTTGCGCAATAGCATGTGCTTTTGCGCAAAAACTTGCCAGCTGTCTACACTGGCCGCTTGAATTTGCACAAGAGCACTGACGTTCTAATGTAAGAATTCAGTGCTTCTTGCGCAAATACTTTGACGCTCCCGCTCAGGGAAAAGCCCTCTTGCGCAAGAATACTTGCACAAGAGGGCCAGTGTAGACAGGCACCTTAATTTTTTGCGCAAGAAAGCCCAATGGCTAAAATGGCCATCAGAGTTTTCTTGCGCAAAAGCGCGTCTATACTGGGCACAGATGCTTTTGCGCAAAAGCATCCATGCCAATCTAGACTCTTTTGTGGAAATACTTTTAACAGAAAAACTTTTCCGTTAAAAGTATTTCTGCAAAATCATGCCAGTCTAGACGCAGCCTTATTGTCCTGGTAGAGTACTGGCCTCAAATGGGAGAGCACTCAGAGGTTGCTTTATCATGTCTAAGCAGACATGATAAATCGATGGCCGGTGGATTGATCACTGCAGCATTGATCCCAGGCATATTGGAGGCAAGAGCACGCTTCCCTGGGAGCTGAATTCCAACAGTGCCTTGATCTGGAAAAGTGTATGTGGGAGTGAGTTTGCAAACTCCTTGGGAGCAGAGACTGTCTCAACACTTTGGTTTGTAAAGAATTGAGCATAAAGGAGTCTTGATCTTGGCTAGGGCATGCAGTTACTCCAGTAACATAAAATACATGATAGTAACACAGCATTTGGGATTTTTAAAGAAGACTAAGGGAATTAATGCCCAGCTTCCAATGAATTTCAGTAGGATCTGCATACCTCACTTTCTTGGGTTGCTCTGAAAAGACTAGAGAGAAATCTCCACAGTCCATTGAGCTCAGTGGGAAATACTTCCTTTTTTTCTAGTGAGCTTTGGATCAAGCCCAGCATGCTAAGGAGATGAAGCTAGTAGAGTTGCCAAGTGTCCGGTATTGACCCGGACAGTCCAGTATTTTCGCCTCCTGTCCAGTAAAAAATTCAGAAAATACCGGACACCTAAAATGTCCGGTATATTCTGTTTTTTTTTTCACTTACATGAGATGAAAATACTGGATACCTGGCAACCCTACACACATTCAGCAACCGGGCCCAGCCCCCCTCCCCACTCCGCTTACTTACCTGGTTCCGCAGGGGGAGCAGTCTTCTAGCTCTGAGTAGGAAAACAAGATGGCTGCCTATTAAAGCCAAAAAAGCCTCA